AAAAAAAAAAAAGAAAGAAAAAGAAAAAGGGGGATAGAAACGTGTGCTCGACGTCAGCTTGCACCGCATATCCGCCACGAATGTCGCAGATTGCGAAAAAGACGTACGTGCCCTTGTACTTGGCTCAGCCGCATACGAGCCGCAGTTCTTTTCTTACCGACATAAATCCTCCTCCTTTTTTTATTTTCTCGTGCTTTCTCACAGCTGAACGACGTTAACGCTGCGAACAACGACGTCACTGCCGCAAGTCGAACGCTTTTATTTTCCGCTCGCCTCTGCGATTCTCACACGATCCTCTCTCTCTCTCTCTCTTTCTCTCTCTCTCTCTCTCTCTCTCTCTTTCTCTCTTCTCGAGAAACCGGGGTGAATAAAACAGGCCGGGAGACAGGCAAAATTGTTTTCACCGAATCAAGCTCCCCCGATTTCCGTCCCAGTGACGCAATTCCGTTTATCCAATCAGATGAACGATAAGATGATAGAAAGTAGGATATGAAGGAGAGGAACAGATGCAGTTTTTGCAATGAGCGATACATTTACTTGATGATACGTAGTACAGTCATCCGGGAAAGTCTTGGTTAATAAAAAGGAAATTTTTTAATTGTGTATGTTGCATAATTTTTGTGTAAAGTAATAACGATAATACAGCGGTTTATTGTCGTATTTCTGATAGAAGAACGTGATGATTTTGCAGTGAAATGTTAAAGAATTTTATATTGATAAAACTGGCCTGTTTGTAAGATGTATGAAAAGAGAGATTTTTAAGTGTAAATTGAATTTTTTTATGGATTCAAGCATGATTTCCTGTGTGCCATTTATTATTCACATAATGATAAGAAAATAAAATAAAACGAGCACGATGAGTGAAAGGAGGATGATGAGCAAAGTTTGTTTAGGATATAGTATTTCAAACGTGAATTCTTTCTTCTTTTATTCTTATATTCTGAATTTCGTGTCAATTCTATCGAATAGTAGAATCCTTGAGTAGTTTCAATTATTCATATCCATATTAATTATCACTTTACAATTATAATTTCATTTTAAATAAACAAAATTCTTCGAAAACAATTACAAGTGAAATTTGATTCATCATCAATCAGGTATTGAGGGAAAGTAATGCGACATTGTTAAAAATATAACCGAAACGGTTGAGAGACATGTGTAAACAGATATCTTACGTGTCATAATTTGCATCGATGAACGTAAATCGATTTTTTCCAAATGAAAATGAATTAATTTCCCAGCCGGATACTGGATCGGCTTTCGCAACGGGGAAAGACCGATTCAAGCACAGCCACGTAAACTGCGTGCTTGAATGGTAAACCTGATCGTTAGCCCGTGAACGGTTCTACAATAACGTTTAAAGTGTTTTTATTAGGTAATAAGACCTATTGAAATCGATAGATCAACAGGGCAGTAAAATTTATCATCTCGTACGTATCTCCTATATTTGCATAAGAATTTTTTTTGCTCGATCAGAGTGGAGAGTTCCGTTGTATAATCGGCATCAATGGATATCATTCTACTCTCTTGTAATCAATTAAAAATTATCGTGTCCTGTCGATTGATAGAATTTATCGTCCCTGAATTATCTTAAATTTGATCTACTAATCGCGAGTACTACCTTGAATATTAATTCGAGTTTCTGGAATTATACGGATATAAAAACCGAGCGCTGAAATTTTAATATAAGCCGTAGATTAAATCTTTAAATCTTCGTTATTGACCGTGATTTATCGAAATTTAATTAGCCTTTTTTTTTTTTTTTTTTTTGCGTGGAAATATTTATTACATGAATATCGACTATGAAATTCCGAATATAGTAACGTTATTGAACTTGAATCGAGTATTTTCCATAATCGATCACGATTATTTCTAATTTTTTTGTTGAATTGAAATTGTTTTTCGCTTGTCGTAATTATGTTAAAAGAATAGGAAGACTGAAAAGTATAGCAATTCAAAGAGAGCTATAGACAATAGAGCTGGTTGTCAGTGTTTTATCTGTTTCGTGTAGGCGCTTGGCATTCTAATAGTAACACAGCCAACGTTCTTATTTATAGTACATTGAAGATTTCTTCTGACAAAAAAATTTCATCTGATATTGATAATATTGCTCGCATTATTAAATGAATAATCTTTATTCTTTAAAAGAAAAATAATAATATTAAACTATTGAGAAATATGTTTAATGAAAAACTTATTACTTTTGCTGAGCTCTCTCAAATGATTAACCAAGCATTTTATTTATCTAAATGTGATTCATTGGATGAAATGTCAGAATGATTCTGATGAAACTTGAAACCCTGTGAATAGAAAAAAAAAAAGAGAAAGGAGGGAGGGAGAATGAAATTTACATTTTTATTTAATTTCTTGAGCAAACTTTCATTCTATCTATACGGGGAAAACACAAATTTGTGACGCATATAGGCGCAAAAACTGATTGTTACCACGTAATTGATCGTTTCCTGTAATCAACGTTACATTATCAACTATATAATTAAAATTTAATTTATATTTTTTTGCGATAGAGAAATTAACTCATTTTTTTTCCTCTCTCTTTTTCTCTCTCTTACGAATAAAAACGTGATTTATAATTTATAATTTCCGTTTTTTTTTTTTTTTTTTTTTTTCTAATAAATAACTGTTTCTTATATTTACGCTCAGTTGAAAACTTTTTTTTTCTTCTTCCACTACCGGATTAGTCATGTATCGCATGTACTGTAAATGTATGTTGGCACGTGTCTTTGCTTCTGTTGCAAACATTTAAAGAATCCTGAGCATTTATTATTTTGCAGAAGCTTGTGTATGTAGAATAATGAAAAACGATGATGTCGTGATTCTTATCTTGTAAAATAATTTTTCACGACATTCGCCACGTTTCAAGTTTTCTCATTTTTTTAGATTTATCATTTTCTCGTCACGATGATATTAATTTTGATACAAAATTGGTTTATTTTACACCAATTTTACATTTTATTTATTAAATAACTAAATAAAGGATAAGATATTGGATAATTATCTTTGCTGCTACGATTAATCGTCCAATAAAAATTCTTTATCGTAAGATAAACAGTAATATCAGCAATAGAGATTGCTTTTTGATGAAACAATTATTCTTGAAAAATAAATTTTTAAGATATTATACATAAATAAAATAATTTTATTTACTATATTATATTTTATACAAATAAAAAATCACTAACACATAATCAACATCGTACAAAAAATAGAAAATTATTAAAGCAAAAAAATAATTCTTTTTCAAATTTTGTTTCGTCATCAAGTTGTAAAATTCTTCAAAATAATATCTATCCTCCGAATACGTACATCTTTTCGAGCATAATCACACTTTGAATATAATCTCGATCATTAATTCACGAGTATCGTGTTATCCCAAGCATCGTACAATTTAAACGATCGATTATAAACGAGGCGTAATTTCCGGTACTTCGCAGACAGTTTAATCTCTCAAAAGTTTTACGTCAGAGCAGGAAAAGTCTGGCCTGGAATCCGTTTCACAATCCTTGGTAGCGGCGCCATCGTCCCGCATCGCCATAAGTCAGAAAGGGCCATTGTGTCCACTTTTCCTCTATAAAGCGTGTCGCGGATCTAATCGCCGACTAATCGCCCACGCAAATACCTGCGTGCTCTCGCGCGAATCGTTAGAGTGCATAGAGTGCAAGGAGCGTGTATACCGGGATATTTACCATTGGATCAAGGTTGGTAGCGGATTCTGCGCTTCGTCCCGAGTGAAAAGAAACTGCCGCAACAAAGCTTTTCATCGGTTATTTTCGATTCTTACGATATCATCTTTCTCTTGTACTTAAAATGGTTGCAAATCGCTTCTTTATCGTAAGAAATGCACACGATACAATAATATAATTACTCATTTTGTTATTTAATTACGATAATAATTTGATGTTTCTTTTTTTGGTCTTTAGACACTTGGAAATATATATTTTCAGAATAAAGTAATATGGATAGTGAAACTTTTAAGGAAAAGTGGGAGTGAAATTAAATTTTTAAATGTAAAAATTATAAAAATTGGGAATTTATTATATAAGAATTTTTTAGAAAATCCTGATACTTGAAAAAATTTTAATCTAATTTAATTTATTTTGATTAAAATTTTATCAAAATTAAATATAAAATAAAATTATTTATTAATATAATTTTATGGTGAATATGAAGGTTATAAATTTATTGTAAGTACTCGTCATTTATATATAAATTCAAATATTTCTTTTTTTTTTTTTCAAAGTAGGTTAAAACGTAATAAGTTTTCTTGTTTTACAAATAATTAAATTAGACACTCTTCATCGTTACTTTTAATTACAAATCGTTAAGCAAATTGTACAGTGATCGTATCATCGGTAAAAACGAAGTACGTTTTGCGCATGCGCATGAATCTTTAGTAGGTCGCGTCAACGGCTTGAACGAACATGTCCCGCGTCGCTCGTTCAGTCATATAAAAGTAACTCGAGATATATCACGCGTATAAATTCCCATAATCGACTAAAAAGTGCCTTCACCTTCACCTTTAATTCGTGTCATTATCATAAAACGTAAGAGTCGTTGAAAAGTTTCAAAATTGAGTGATTCGTGATTTGACACAACCTCTAAACACATGAATGTGCCAAGTGAATGTACCGTATATATTCCTTTCTCGAAGTTGTCACGTTGAAGACTGATAGACAAATTCCTCGAAAGAATGGGATATCGACGGAAAAAAAGAGGTAACTTTTAAAGATAATCATTCGAATAATTCATAGAAATATATCGGCTACGTAGAGGGTATCAGTGCACAAGGATTGTCAAAAGTTTTACGAGGAAAGCGCGCGAGAGAGGTGTGCGCGCGCACGATAGTAGGTCGAATCGCGTTCGACGAAGTTCGGCTATATTCGGATACGTTCGGTACGCTCGAATTCGAAGTTCGTTCGCGGCGACCGCGCGCTCGCTGTTCGCTCAGTCAGTCAGTCGCACGCGGCATACGAAGGCCTCGAGGAGTCGAGGGAGGTTCGAAGACGCGCGAAACATAACAGAATAAAAGACAGAGATTGGATAAGGTGAGGGGAAGGAACGATAAGTGACTCGAAGAAAAGAACACAGGAAAAGACGACACAGCGGAATCTTATATCGCGCGTTGTCTTTTGTCGTAAAGACTGGAGCCGCTCTAGCGAGTGAGTCGATCTCTCTTCTCGATTCGAGAGATCGACTGCTATCCTTCGAGGCAGCGTCGGTTTGGCAGACGGAAGAGAAATTGGCAAAAGTGTGATAACAGAGAGAAAAAAAGCACCTACAAGTACGAGATGGTGTACGGAGGAGGCTTCGACATGGTGGAAACGGTGAGTTATGTTTTTGTTTATATGCCGCGAGCTATATGAGGCGTGGAAAAATTCTTCGAATTTTGTTTAAGATAACAGCTTGTGCATCGTGCGTACGTGTTTATATTGTCAATCGTATAACATACATCTTTGTCTAATATTAGTTCCTTATTAGTTATTATTTAAATTTATAAAATAGATGCCATTTATAAATTATTTATTGATTCATTGGTAGAAGTACATATCTTATTAAATGATAATACGTTACAATATTTTAGAAACATACATGATATCTGAATAAATCTTACAATTTATTTAAAAAAAATTATATTGAATGGGAACTAGTATTTTAAAGATTGTGTACTGAATATATATATAATAGCAAGAAAAAAATTGGCGCCAAAAGTGTCATCATTCAAATATATACTACGCACGACACGAATGCAAAATTAGGCGCGAATTTTAAAACAATTGCCATCAAGTTACCATTCTTTAACACTCGATATAACATATAACATTATATATTCACATATAATATTATATATTCATATATTCACATTATATACAACAAATGTTTTCATTGTATTAATTAGATATAATAAAGAAAAGAAAAAAATAAGAAAACTTAAATCTTAATATAGTATTAAGCGTAAGATTAATTTCGTAATTAATAAATAAAGACTATTTGTTTTATTTTTATTTCTTTCAATTTTCTTTCAATTCAATACAATAATAATCATAAAATTAATTTTCATAGCAAATTTTATGTTTTCTCATTTTTTTTCTTTTCTATTATATTAATTATTTTAATGCAATGAAAAATTCATTAAATAATAATAAAATCATTACGTATGATCAAAATTAATTAACAAACATAATGTTGCGTATATACTTAATATATTTTCGCCGAAACGATTTTCAAAAGTTCGAGATTCTCGGAAAAATGGAAATGAGTTAGCGGATTTCATGGGATTTTTATCGCGAATTGGCTGACAAAACTCTCGAGACATTCGAGGTAAAACCTATTTGCACGTAAGACTCACGCACGGCAATTAGAATTAATTTGACCGAGCCACTTTAAAGGCAACGGGTGTTTTACAAGTGAAATGTCATTCTAAACCGGCTGGTTGACGATAATGAGCAAAAATGTCATCGACCTGTCAACGAGGATTTGGATAATTTTTTTTCCTTGATGATTAAAATTTTGTAATATTCGCGTAACATGTGTCCTTTTGTTAGTAACTAACTACGAAATCCTTGTAAAGCATATTTGCAAATCAGCGAGATAAATTTATCTCGTTTGAATATCTACATACATACGTGGATGAATAAAAGGTAGAATTCTAAGAAACTTCTGCATAATATTTTTGTTCTGCGACAAATGTTTTCGTATTCGTTCACGCATATGTAAATCCCATAATGAATGTTCGTGTAATTTTTATTTTATTATCCTCTTCATTATGCATGATTGCATCGATTAAATAATCAGTATAATTTTATTTTTCATTTTATAAATTGTTTGTTTGATCATTGAGGTAGACTCGTGATTGATTTTTCTGCGATGATAAATATATCATTATAGATTATGTTATTAAATTAATTATTGAGAAATTTTAATAATTCATTGTTTCATTCTTATTTATTATTTTTATAATTATTATTTTTATTACTTTATCGTTTCATGATTACATTTTTTTTCTCGGATTAAACTTAATTATTTTATACAGATTTTTGATAAGGATCATGTATTAAATTTTAACGTTGTTTTTATAGTAATTAACTTTTATGATGATTAATATTCATATTATATCTCGACGTTTTTAACGAGCCACTTCGATAAGACAGTTGTACGTATATGTATTTTATGATGTAATTAGGGGTAATGTTTCATCTTGATCGAGAACAGAAATTATTAATTTCTAAATAGGAATATATATATTTATTTTTTTATTTCGATAAAAATATATTATCATTAATAATATTTTAATGATAATTATTTAGAATTCGAATCAAATTAGTTAGAATTCTGATCAAATTTTTTTTTTTATATATAAAATTTAATATGCACTATTTATACACAATTTTCGTTTAAAAAATATCTACGTAATATTCACAAATCTAGTTTATTTCGTTTTAGATTCGTTCCAGTTTCTCTTGATTCATATCTTCGTACATTCAAAATAAACGTGCTTTTCTTACGATTTAATCGAGATTCGATATCGTTGAAATTATTCAATGCACATTATCTTACCCATCGTGGATCAATGTAAACTCAGTTTCGCTATTACGAACACATTGTCCCAGTTTGTTTAAGTAGATACGGCCCTGTTGTAGAAAGACACAAACAGACGATCGCGCGGAAGGCTAACTTTCGAATCTACTACTACTAAATTGTAGCTAGTCAGATAGACGAGAAATTCACTCGGCTAGTACGTAATGGAAAATTTTATAGCGAAAAAAGGAGGCGAAATGTGATGGCTTCTGAGATTTTTCTGATCGAAATCTCGTTAGGGAATGTAATTCTTCATTTACGACTTGTCGATCATTCAAATTGTCAATCGTTATATTAATTATGAATCTCTTCATCGAGAATAAAATTTTTTATTACTGTCGTATATTTTATCAGAATTTTTCTTTTCTTTTATCAATTAATATAATCGTGTATTAAAATAGAAATATCGCACAATAGATATACGGAATAAGAATAAATTATCTGTATATTTTTTCTTATTATATCCAGTATTGAACTTTTAAAGAAGAGAAAACTAATTTATTATTTAATATTCGAAACTATTATCAAAAATATATAAAGTTTTATATAAATTTTATTTATATCATCAAATTCGATTCTTTGAAAGTTAATTAATCTAGAATTCGGTATTAACTTTTTAATCATATAAAGATTATCACTTTCTTCAAAATTTCAATATTCCGATTGAAAATTTGAATTATTTTCAAATACAAATAATTTTTATCTTATGTTACGTACAAAAAGAATGGCGCAAGCCAATACGCGAGAATTGATAGGAGAGAGTGATTATAATTGATTCCTTTTTATCTCTTCTTCGATGATAAACTTCATTTACGACGGAGACATTAAAATTATTTTTTGTCCGTCCATTTTTCTTGCAAAGAGCAAGATATCGAGATTTAATTTCGCTTTCACAATTTATTTTTATTTTTACACGAAAAATAATTGTAATTGCATTTCTTCTACTTATATTTCTTTCTTGAGCTACGTGTAACTTTTCGTGTAACCGATTTCGATCTATTTTTGCTTTATACTATTTTCTCGTAGGAAATATGTATCATCGACTCCATTTTGATACTGTAGACAATTATTTCACATGCCATTTAGCTTTATCTCGTGTCTCGATCATTTTTACTTTATCTTTTTTTTTTTTTTTGTCGACTGGTTAATGCATATGTTCTGTAATAGAATTATGTATTCATGAAAGAGCTCTATAAAATCCAACGACATGAATTTTACATTACCATATTCACGTATTAGATGTATATAAAATTTTGCCATTCTGCACTGTCACCTTTGTCCTTCGACTCTATGTTATAACGTTTCCTTTCTTCCTTGTTTTCCATCTTTTTCCATCTTTATCTATAGATATGCACTGTCGAAGTGTTCATTCCTTCTTTAAGCCATCTAACGGAGCGTTGAATTCGAATCGCTCTTTATTCTTAAAATATTCCCTCCTCCGCGAGCGAGATACCTTCATTTCGTATTCTCTTCCATGTTTGCACTCGATCGATCATATGTAAACTTAACGTGGAAATTCCACGAATAATTAAGCATCTAATGTCACCGTTGGATCATTTAAAATCATGTAAAATTTTCCATAGTGTTTGTTATCATTATTTATTTTTAAGTGTAGATCAATATTTAGCCACTAATTCATATTTTAAAAAGATTATTAATTTATTTTAGAAAAATCGTCTTATTCTAGAAATTCCCATTATTATTAGACATTGTTTCATCGGAATATAAAATTTTCCATACTTATTATTATTAATATTATTATTATTATCATTTATCTTAGAGAAATTATTTTAATGCAAAAATTTCTAGAATTATTGTTAGATATATCGTCGTTTTGTCCTGCAATGCATAGGACGTTAAATATCAAATATTCTTTGATTAATAACATTCATTTCATTTTACGTGTACCTCTACATTTAACGTTAACGATTTCTTATTAAACGTGAATTTTTTTTTATAATCTTCTATAAATCTACATTGTAGTTTTTTAATAAAGATTCGTGCCAATAGCTATGTTTTATATCGCAACGCGCACTGCTGAGGCTCTTTAAAATCCGTTATTAACATTTAATTTCATCATATTGCTTTATACGTTTTATTCATTGCGATATTAAATGGAAATATCCCAACACTTTCTTGATCCACGTTCGTTTTCTTCAAGTTTCTTCTTTTTTTTTCTTTTTTTTTTTTTCTTTTTTTTCCCCTTTAGCTATATAATAATGATGATTATATCTCATTGTGCTCGTAAAGTTAGTCATAAACCGGCAATATAATACATACGCGTGTCTTGTTCATAATTTTTCAAGAGTTTAAATGCTTCCCTGATTCATTCGGCCTTCGTTCGATATCAACTTTTATTCAAACTCTGTATTTACATGTCGGAATCTAAATTTGAAAAGTGATTGCATTTTCCTCACCCTTGATATCCTCGTAACAAAAATTATAAAGGCGACAAGTTGAAAGCGTGCTAAAATGTTTTGATCAAACATTTTCCTGGTCCACGTAGCACGATGGATCATACTCATTTGTCATGTGATACAAAGTATAGTAAAAGAAAGTTTATTTCATCATAGAAGCAATGATTCATCGTACCAATTCTTCCTACGTGCGTCGAAATTCCTTATGTATAAGTTGTTATTGTTATGAAATCGGCCTAATTTAATAAGAATATGTGAAAGGGGTAATTCTTTGAGATTCTTAAGAAGTAATGATTCATTATATTCGATTCTTCCTGTATAATTCCAGTCGA